GATGACACTCTGCAGTCTAACCATGTCCTTGTCCAGTCTATCCTTGGCACCAGTGTACCAGATAGTGATGGAGGAGGTGAGGATGGACTCAATGATGGAGGAGTAGAAGTGCACCATCATTGTCCTTGGAAGGTTGAATTTTTTTCAGCTGCCACAGGAAGTACATCCTCTGCTGGGCTTTCTTGGTGAGGGAGTTGGATGTTCAGCTCCACTGTTTTTGGAGCTTTGAGTTCCAGATTGTTTTCCCTGCAACATGTTGCCAGTTGATCAACCTCCCATCTGTAGCCGGAATTGTCTCCATCAGAGATAAGCCCGTTGAGACTGGTATAATCTGTGAACTTCAGAAGCTTGACGATGACTGGAGGTGTAGCTGTTGGTGTACAGGGAGAAGAGCATAGGAGAAAGAACACAGCCCTGAGGGGAACCAGTGCTGATGAGCTGTGAGTCGGAGACATGTTTTCCCATCTTTACGTCCTGCTTCCTGTCAGACAAGAAATCTGTAATCCACCCGCAGGTGGAGTCAGGCACTTTCAGCTGGGAGAGCTTCTCCTGAAGCAGAGCTGGGATGGTTGTATTGAAGGCAGAGCTGAAATCCACAAACACGATCCTGGCCTGGGTTCCTGCAGAATCCAGGTGCTGGAGGATGTAGTGAAGAGCCAAGTTGACAGCGTTGTCTGCAGACCTGTTGGCTCTGTAGGCAAACTGTAGGGGGTCCAGGAAGTGGTCAGTGATCTCTTTCAGATGTGAAGCACAAGGCGCTCAAAGGAACAGGGATAATAATGGATTTGAAGCAGGTTGGCAGGTGACATGTCGCCAGTGAGGTGCTACAAATGTCTGTAAACACTGGTGACAGCTGATCAGCAGAGCTTCAAGGATGATGGAGAGACTCTGGTCCAGCAGCTTTCCAGGGGTTCTGTCTTCTGAAGAGTTTATTAACAACTTTCTCGTTTATGGAAAGAGTTCTCACTAAGGTGGGAAGAGGTGTACCTCATGTACCATAACCATTCTGTATAGTCATATTTCTCTCCTACTTTGGAGGTAATATCAGTGTTCCAAGAATTCATTCTGTGACTCTAACGTGTTGCTTCTTTTACAAAAACTAATTGTACACAATTATATGAAAAACCCTGTTACAGGGCTTTGCTTTTTGGCTCAGCTCTTTCTATCCCTTGATCCATCTCCCACTGCAACCTACCATTACCATCATTCATGAACAAGTCATAAAGCTAATTTAACTACTTTTCTTGAAACTAGGCTATTGCCCTGAGCCTCCCAGTATCCTTGTTACACTCCACATCTGTGGCCAGGAGGAACAGATCATAGCAGAAATGGCATCCTGCATAGAAGTGGCTGAAATTTGTTTTTTTCCGTTTGTTAGCTGGATCTAGCCTCTGAGGATAAGGTCAGGGCTGCATTATTCAGGTAAGCTCCTCTGCTAAACCCAGTCAGTTGAGATGGTTTAAGCATAGATTACATGTGGCTGTCTCTGTTTGGAGGGTCTGCGATCAACTTCCACTGGAAAGAGAACCAAAATCAACCTTGAAGTTACTAGAAGGTCGATATTTTGTTCTGCCCCAGGAGTAACTTGGTCTCCTGTAGAGTGAGCTGGAGAACGGCTGTAGCGAGAAGGGTGTCTCAGGTCACGAAGAAGTAGAAGACAGGGGAAAGATTATTCATAAATAATAAACCAGACATCTGTGAGGCTGAATCCTAATATTGTTAAGAAACTTCCTGACCTTTTGCAGAAGCATACTGGCATGTTAACACTTGGAGTGTCTCATGAAAAATGAAACAGCATAGAAATTATAGGGATGTATGAGAGCGTAATTGTTTTGTTCCTCTTTCCCTGAATTGTTTATTTACAGAGGACTGGCTACCTGAAGCCTTTGCTGCTACAGTACACTAAATATAGTATGAAATCTTCTTGTCAGCAGTACCGCTGTAAGCATGATAGTTTGCTGGTGTTCATGTTTAGGCACAAAAATCTGCCTTGTCTAATCACAGCCTCGGCCTACATTCAGTGGAGAATTGAAATAGGAGCCTCTGTTCATTTAAATCTAGTGTTAGCAGTTCAGGTGTAACGATCAGGTTTATCAGTGGTGTGTATGAAACGACACCACAAACTGGAGGCTTCATTGACAGTGAGAAGCAGCTGAATGCAGGTCAAAAGCGTGCGTCTGCCACGTCATAAATACATGTGCTAAAGTTAACATTTACAAATGGTTAGAATGAAAGCATCTGCAATGTCGGATAAATATTTACCTTAAGTCTGAGCAACTTTCAGCTCTTGGTCAGAAAGAGACTGAAACTTTAAATGTTGATGGAGGAGCATTCAAAGAAAAATAAGCCTCGAACTAAAACAAGTAGAATTGCCGTAAATTAAACGGATACTTTCAAAAACTGTACTGGATAAGCTGTATGTAGGGATGCAACAATACAGACACCTTCTGCAAAGTGTCTACCAGTTCAAGATCATTTGCAACACTTCCTTCCTCGTCTAGGTCACTCTTTTAGAGGGACTTCCTGACAATATCTAGACATTTAAGTGCTATACACAAACATCCTGAATGAGCGGAGCACTCTGTAATCCTTAAGCTTAAATCCTTTGCAACCAGATGTTGCAGCTTACAGAGGCAGACCCGGGAGACTTTAATGATTGTCATACCCTGACTAATGAAGAGACTGAACAGGAGAACGCTTCTTCCAGTGCGTGGGAGGTCGCTCTTGTTTAGCTGTGCCTGATTAAAATGATACTGTAAAAATTTAAAGAAATAAAGAAGGAAAAGCTGATCAGATTCAAGAGAACAAAACCATTGGCAAAATAATGTGGAGGAAACAGAAGTAAAACAAGAGATGTAATGAAGTAAGAGAGAAGATTGTATGGAATGGAGGAGAAAGATTCAAACTAAGGTTGTTTGATTGTTTGTTTGTTTTTTTATAAAGTTTGAGATCTCTAAACATTGTGCTTGTGGTTTATCTGAACTGAACATCCAGAATGTCCAGACACTCATGGACAAATCTACTTCCAGAGGTATAGGTAAAGAGAAGAAATAAATAACTCATATCTTTATAAGGCTGTTAGCAAGAGAACCTCTAAGTTCTCTATACTGTTTCTATTAACTAATTATACCATTAATGAAGTGTTTTGTGATTAGCATTAAATGTTGTGTGTTCATCGCTAAATGTGTTAGTAAACTGTTAATAACATCCAGTAATTACACTAGAGTGGCAGTACGAGCAGCTTTTGTTTCCATGGTTTAGAACCACTAGACGAGCTCTTTGATTGAGGGCTATTAATAGCATTTTTAACATTTTCATTCTTTATATGAGCCCATCAGCTTTTCAGCTTTACTATGACTGGGAATCCTAAAAAGACATACAAGCTCCTGACACATCTACATGTAGTTATGCAAACTGAGAAGAGCTAGATATTGAACCCTCCCTCTGCATTATGACCCCATGATAGCTTTCCACACAAGACAAGTTTGTAACAATAGATGCCAAATGCAAATAAACCCTTCCATGGTTTAATGAGCTACATAATGTTGGAAATAGAAACTCGGTCATTAGATTGAAAACAGAATATCACCAAGCTTAAAAAATAATGGTTTTAGCAGTTATCGTATCTTTCAGTCAGAGAATAAATATTAGCACTGGATATGTGTGATGTGTAGTCTGAGTTTTAATAGATCATTAAGAAGAGCATTGGTGATAGGAATTTCCGCAGGATTTCTGCACTCAGCTGGAAATACATGGGACTTTTTAAGTCATTTTTAGGTCTGGATAAGCTACAGTATGAAAGACATATAGAAAGGAAAAACTTTTTCCAAACTTCAATCACTAGTGGGTAAAGCAGGAGTCTTTAAGTCCACTACCTGGAAGCGACAGTCCTCCATTTACAGCTATCCCTGAGTGTAACCATTCATTTCAGTCAGGTCAGCTAAAAGATGCAGAACATCAGCTATGAAGAAAAGGGTGCAGAAACCCCTGGTATATAGATTTATTTTGTTTATCCAGTAAATGCATCAATATATCCACCTTATCCACGCATCCATTCATAATCCTGTTTATTTATCTATCCATTATCACTCTATTATCCATCTATCCATCTATTCATTCTCCATCCCGGTTATCCCAAGCAGCTATCTACGGATGAGAGGCAGGTAAACCCTGGACAGGTCGCCAGTCACTCTATTATCCATCATCTTCAAATGTCTAGTTTTCCTGATGTACCTTCTATATTTCAGCCTGCATCTTTTCAATGTTAAATATTTTTCTTAAAAGTGGGTTTAAAGAACAGAATCCTAAAAGTTTCCATCCGTTAATGTTTGGTAATTTTACATAAATCAATAAAGAGAAGCCAAGTTTAAGACAGCTAAAGCTGTCTTTCAGCGAGGAGCATCATTACTTATTATGTCATTAAACACAGCAGCTTCATGTTGACAGGAGCAAGTCAAAAAGTGCAGCTGGATATTTTACATTCTCTGATTAAAAAGCTCGCACAGACAAACCTCTTCTTGATGAGGCTCAGTTTGATCAAATTGAAATTAGACATCTAATTGCAAAGCACAATGAAGTGTGATGCATTGTGCAGCAAATTGCGATGAGAAATCACAACAGGATGAAGTGTGGCCTTACAACACGTTCATTACAATTGTGAGACATTAGCAGGAGGTGCCATGCTCCTGGCGGGAGAAAAGGTAAAATGATACCAAGATTCTATAATCATGGACCTGATGGGATCTGATCTGAGTCTGAGATTAATGGGGGAGAGATACAACAAAGGGAGCTGAAAGGGTAAAAACACAGCAGCAGGAAACGGAGGATGGTGTCTGATATGGAAGTGCTGGGGGTCTAAGAGGTGAGGCGTGGTGGGAGGAAAACATGAGGAATGAGTGGGTTTGCTGAGCATGATATGAAAAATCTGAATGACTCGGTACTGGGGGAATGTTACATGGATATTAGAAGTCGACAAAGAAAAATTACAAAGGAGTTCTTACCTTGACTCTCAGCCTTACTGGGGTGGCAGGAAACAAAGGCAAGCAAAACCAGCAAGGCCAGCAGACGCCACCTGACCTCTCCCATCAAAAACATCCTCAAAATTAGGTGTCTAGACCTGTATAGAAGAAGAAAAATGTCATTTTGAGTCAGTGAAGAAAAACGGCGTAAAGAAAACGAAAAGTAGTACCCTGAATGCCACAGAGCTGTTTGAGACTCAAGGGGGGTCAAGACCCACCTTACCCATGCAATTCCAACCCTCTCATCTAGAATCAGTTATTTATCCCCTAATCCACTTTTTTCTTCAATTACAGAGCAGCTTTCAGTAGTCTGGACAAGCCACAGAGCAGTGGTCAAGCCTCACGCCTACACAGAGTAGGTCAGGGAAGACACAGAGAACTTTGTTTGGAAGAAGGAAAGAGCTGAGAAATTAACAAAAGGTCAGACGAGAAGACACAGTGACAAAGAGGAGGACCAGAGTTTGACTAGCAGCCCAGAGACGAAACATTTGATAGGTTCTATTCTCTGACGGAAAAAGAGCAAACATGAAAGAATCCCTTCACTTTTCCTCCTAACTCCCCATTTTGCTGTTTAGTTTTTCTGCACCCCTCTGTCACATGCCTCATCTCCCAATCTGCCTCTCATTAAAGTCATCTTATCACAATTGTTGGGATCCACACAACCTGGCTGAGAATTAATAGAAAGCACGGACAGAAAAAATGTATTCAAAGTAAGAAAAACCCTGCACCTGTGCTAGTTAATGCAATAGTTATCCAGGATATTCTTCTGTGAAGGGGGCATACTAATAATAATAATAATAAAGCTAAAAGAACGATATAATAAAAAATTACTTTGATAAAATTAGAAACAAGCCAACTGTCAGTCAATACTTCAAAACTGTCAGCAAGCAGAGAATGTTTGCATGTAAAAGAGGAGCTGCAGCATCCTGAATGAGCTAAAGAGGCTGACTGATCCCATCGATAACATCACAGAAATCTGCTTTTAATGAATGAAATGTAATAAAACCATGGGTTATTATTTCCAGGTAATTTATTTGAAATGCTTGGTTGGTTTCACATCCTGGTGTAATTGAAAGAAACTTCTCTACCAAACACTGTTGACCTGTTTATTAAAATGCATAACTAAAACCAGGGTTTGACAAACATAACTATGGTCGTGGATCACTGAGCTTAGGAAGAGAGGTGTGGAAAGGACTGTTGGGACTGAATAAAATCTTGCCTATTTTTCTCAGGGGACTCATAAAGGTTTTTTACAAACAAAAAGGGGCCAGAAATTTGCATACCTGTTTCTACACAAAAGAGGTAATCAAAAAATAAATGTGAGGTCCTTACTGCAATTCTGACCCATACTTTCTGTTAGGATACAGGAGAAGCTAGAGACACAGATAGTGAGGTAAAGGATGAAGCTACACAGCATCCACCCCCCCACCCCCCGTTAAATAGGTGTTAAATAAAAGCAGGTCATTGCACACATCTTCAAAGTAGGAAGAAAGGGGAGGATAGCTGAGTGCATGGTTCTACAGAAACATAATAAAACATGGATAACCAGCACTCTGTGATATATATATGGCTTTAATAAATTTATAAATTGTAGATATGTATGAATTATATATTTAATATGGGGGAAAAAACTGTTTCTCCTACTGTACATGCCAGAGTCATTTTATTAAAGATGCAAGATCATCTGCAAATCTATACAGAGATTAGGAAATAGCTCATAATAAATATTAAATGTATAAATGCCATAGAGTGCTGGTAATTATTTTTTTACTCTTAAACTTTTGAGAATTCTGGCATTCCTGGCAACAGGCTCTTATTAGCAAAAGTAGCCCACTGGTGTTAAAGATATTCATCAACTTTCTGCGAAGCTTCTTTTATGTACAAAATAATTATTTAAAATGACATCTAAGATCAACAGTGCTAAACTAAATGTTGTTATTGAATACTTTGTTTTATTTGTCAGCCCACTACTGTTGCTACCACACATAGTTTTGTAACTCTACACTTCACTCATCCACACGTCTGTATCTGCTTTGGTTACACTGTTTTCTTTTTTATGTTTTTTTCTGTCTCTCTCCCTCTCCTACATGATTTCTGTTGTAACCTTGAACTAAAATTGGTCAGCCGGCTCATTTATATACACACTGACACTCATGAGGTACTATGCATTGACCAGTATGGCTATATTTGGAAGTATAGAGGGCAGAACCTTGCATACAATGGCAATTTACATGGAGGTAAGGAAGTGCAAGGTGTGTTCTCTTTTTGGATTTTTGCTAAAAACACACAGATCTTAGGGATTTTCTAAAAAGGCACCAAAGAAAGTTAAAGCCACCAATGCTTTGACATCATCCACTCACTTCAGAAGAGGTTGGATGAAACATGGACTGTTTGGCTTTCCAAACTTTTTGGAGATAAATCTAACAGTCAGTTGCCTAACAGATAAACTGAAAGAGAACTGAACCGTGAGGGACTGCAAAGGAAAGGTAAGCTAAATTAAGAATTCTTAATCGTCTTCTCTGGGAGTGTATAGTTAACAATTGTTCTTTATGCCAAGGAGAAACCCAACAAATATACTTTAACTAGTTCACAATTACAGCTTCAGCTTTAATAATGCACTTGAAATATAAACGTAAGTAAAAAAAACGTATTATTTTGGGTTTATTTCAAACAATATGGACTTGGAGACTAAAATAAAAGGGAAAAATAGAAAAAGAGAAAATTTAAATGAGAGGGAATCATAAGAACAGAGGAGGGAGAGAAGGATAAAGAAACAGAATTTAAGTGTTCTGTAAAAAAAAAGAAATAAAACTTCTTTCCTGCATGGTATTTAAGCACCAATTTAATGCAGTTCTTTTAATCCTCAGTAGTTAGAAATAGCATATAAGAATAGTGTGGCCAGCAATATCCAGAGCTAAAAGGCCCAGAAGTACAAAAATAACAAAACCTTTACAAAGAGTTGCTAAAGGGACGTCATCAAAACCCTAATAAATGCTGATTCTGTGATATATAGACGTTTAAAACCAAACAAGAAAGTCTCCAAAATCCTGTTTCTTTCAGGAAGTTATTTAAGTGAATGAAGTAAATTGGAACAGACTCAAACTGATTGAAGCTTAGCAAGGAGCAAAAACAGATGGATCATTTACAGAAGAAGGGATAAATGACCCGATGGACAGAACAGATTGGTTCGAACCTTACAAACAAATAAGTAAGGGCGATTGCTATCAATGTCCATCAGGTCTTTCTGGTTTGTTGACTAGTAAAATAAAATTGATGGGTTTGTTCAGAATTTTATTAATTTGCCATCCATCCATCCATCCATCCATCTTCTAACACGCTTAATCCCAAGCGGGGTTGCGAGAGGTGCTGGTGCCTATCTCCAGCTGTCAAAGGTCCAGAGGCAGGGTACACCCTGGACAGGTCACCAGTCCATTGCAGGGCAACAGAGAGACAAAGAGGACTAACAAACATTTATGCACATCTAAGGAGAATTTAGAGAAGCCAATTCACCTAACGTTCATGTTTTTGGACTATGGGAGTAAGCTGGAGTACCCGGAGAGAACCCACGCATGCTCAGGGAGAACATGCAAACTCCATGCAGAAAGAATCAAACCCAGAACCTTCTTGCTGCAAGGCAGCAGTGCTACCCACTGCTCCACTGAGCGGCCCCTAAAGATAACAGAAAACCATTAATATAAAAAACTACAGCAAAGGTTAAAATCATACCAAGAACGCTAAAAAGAGATAACTGAAATAAATGCCAAGGAAGAATTAAACTAAAAGGTAATTGGAAAAAATATATAAATCTTAATGTCAGGGTTTGGTAGTGGTTTGGAGGACCCAAATGCAAAGGCAGAGAGGCTGAGGTGAATACTTGTAGTTTTAATGATGAAAATGGTTAACAAAAGCAGGAATCCAAAAAATCGAACTAAAAATGTAACAGACCAGAACCACGGAGACGTCAAGGGAAAACACGTACAAGGAGCCAGGGAGAGACGAGGTGAGATGACAACAGCGATGACAGGACCAGCAACAACAAAGAACCAACAAAGAGTGAGAGCAGAGGGAGAGCATATAGCTGACAGAGACAAAGGGAGGGCTAACGAGCTGACAAGGAGCAGGTGTGAGAGGAGAGAGCGAGGGAGCCAAGGGGAAAGGAACACACACACAAGAGGGCAACAGAGGACAACAGAAAAACATGAGAACTAACATAAATCTAGAAATTACAACAAAAAAGGAATTAAACCAATAAAACTGGGGAACATGGAGCAAAGTAAAGCACAATATAACCAAAACCATGACACTTAAAAGCAAACACAGAATAACAAAAATTAAAGCATAGCTGACATGGACATAATTTTTTGGGGGGGAACAAGTCGACATGTCCCCAGCAACGTCGGTTTGGTCCCCTGCACATTTTACTGTCCAAAAATAATGTTACGCTACAGTACACAGATATTGGTCGAGCACTAGGACCAAGTGGCTCAAACTAAAGCCCACTTTGCTGAGTTTAGATGGCCCACCAGCTCCTGATTGGCCCATCGTCTTTTCTTGTGTGATTGGCTGTCACCGCTGTGACTCCTGAGAGGCTCACTTTACAAACATCTTATGTACCACTGAGTCGGGTCTGTGGTCCTTGCATCCCCCCCAACTTCTGAAATCAAAATTTCATCCGTGATAGCTGACAACCCAGAGTGAAAACTTGAACAGAACCAAAAAGTCCAGAAAAGCAGATCATGACACATGGTGGGGGGGAAGAAATAGAGCATCTCCATGCAGCAAAAACAGATGGTTTTTGTGAAAATTTCTAAATGATAGGGTTTGTTTCTCAGGAATAATATTTAAATCAATCCAAATATACAGTAGATCAGATATCTGTTCTATATATCTGTTATAGGGTTTATTTAATGACACACATATAATGCATTTATATATTTAGACAGCCACATATTTGTTACCTGGTGAAAATTCCCCACCATATGCTATTTTATAGGGACTTACAGGTACTGTACTTGTGGGGACCAATGACTGGTCCTCATGAGGATAACTTCTCTTTTTAGGTTAGAGGTTAGATTTAAGACTTATGTGTGAATTAAGTTTAGCTCAGGTTTAGGCTAAGGTATGTTTTGGTAAAGATTAAATTAGGGTCTGGTTAAGGCTATTGAAGTAAATGCACAATGAATGGATAACGGGAAAGATAAGAAAAGGGACATATTGTCTGTGTTTGTATCTGTGAGTGGGTGCACAATAATTTTTCACAAGACAGCTTTGATTTGAGAACAATAGATCATATTTTAAAAACGAAGGAAAACATGAGAAGGTTTGTCCAAAAATAGTCCTCCCTTACACACAGAGGAGAGCTACAACAAAAACAAAGATCAGTCAGAAAATGAACAGGTTTGGTTTTAAACCCACCATTCTTCTCTTCATATAATTCTTAACACGACAAAGGCTTCCACTGCTCTGCATCAATCTTTGGGAATAATAAAAGGCAGATATTCCACCCTGTAATAATGAAAAGCAGATTTCAAGCGTCACTCTGATTACTGTTTAATCTGTTTATTTGGCAAATATGCTCTTTAATATAGTGTGCTGTGAATAGTTTGAAATCATTCACTAAAATTGTTAGGAAGTAAAACATAGATAGAACATTTTAAAATGCAGTGGTGTATTGCCCATCCATAAATGCAAAACCCAACCAAACACTTTTAGATATATAATTTTTGAGTTCTATCAATTCAGCTTATTTAGCCATTATGCCATTAGTTTGCATCCTAAAATTACACCACTACTTCCCCTAAGTGCTGTTTCCTCGTACATCTAAAGCATTAAAAAAATTTAGTTAGCAAAAATCTCTGGCTTTTGATTTAATTGTGCCAGCCATATTTGGCCAAGTTCTGAAACTTTCTCTAGGCACCCCTGGAAAATATATACATATAAAATATATAGCCTACATTATATATTTTTTTTCTTTTTTTGCGCAAAAATTATCCATTATATTGAAAAAAACAGACCTTAAAGGTCCAAATGAATTTCCCAATTACACTAATTGAAGTGTCATGAAAAGCACAGGTGCGTCTTTGTTTTTCTATTAAGCCCATGGCTGTTTGATTTAAAGTTTCCAAGCAATATTTGATCCAAAAATAATGATGTTTATATGCTGAGTGTTGCTCTGCTGAAAGACTCATTGGTATAAATCAAATCGCGTTCCTACCTCTATAGTCTCATGAATTCAAAGCGTCCTATTATCTCCAAAGGAGATCCTCTGAATACCAAAAGCGTCTGAGGGCTCCCGCTGCTTCCTCCTGACGCGCTCGCTTTTCTCTCGCTCCTTTCGGGACGCGGTCAGTCTGGAGAGTGGGTGTTTCTCTCCTTGTTATTCAGACATCCCTCCCTTCGACTGATCCTCCTTGTCCCAACCCTTTCCTTTGGCAGGGTGCATTTCAGAAGGGGAGTAAATGATAAAGCAGTGGCACTGCAGATGTCCTCCCTCCAGGTTCCTGATCGTCTCTAGGGGCTCCTTCAATGAGCCTCCTCGGACCCAGCTGGTCACTTCTGTGTTGCCTCGCAGGGGGACTGTGAGGGGAGCTCTCCCTGCGCTTGGAGCAGGTGCCTGGCCATGCCCTGCTGCGCTGCAAGCTTTGATTTTAAAGGAGCATTGACGCTGCTTTCCAATCGGAACTGAGAACACACAGATGCGCCTGAGCTGAGCTATTTAAAGTTGTTTATTCTGAAAAATTCTGATTTCATTGAGCTTGTTCCAACAGCTCAAACAACACCTATACTGTATAATTATGAAGACTGTTTCGATCAATATTCTCGTTATAAGAAAAAGTGCAAAAGAGGGCAAATTATCAATTGATTTCTTTATTTGTTTTTGAAAATATTATTTTAAATAACTTCTACTTTGAAACAATATTTGAGATTTTAGGGAGCAGGTTTTACTGGTAAAATAAATGTCCATACTATATTTGGCATTTAATGTTCGTTCAATTCGTAAAATTGAATATTTTTTATTATCATTTTGTTAAAATGTCACTATTTACCAGCTTTAGCCATTATATTCTGTTCTGAAGTTTAGAAGCCTATTCTGCCCCAAAAACCTTCAATTTCTGGGACAAATCTTTTCCCCAAAGAGTATATGTATTTGGTTTTCCATGATGTTCATAGTTGCCTACAACTGTTTTAGCAGATGAATGTGGCACAATTGCATCCTGGTGCCCAAAGATGATCCAGACCTTAGGAGGTTCAGAATTCAAGCAGGTCTCTTCTCAGAAAACTATCCCTTGTCCAAAGCAAAGAAGACAATGGAGAAGAGCCATCAGAAAGTAAGGAAGTGTTGCAGTATAGATGAACAGCACAGACAAGGAGCATGTATAATCCCTTATACATTATTCTGTGGCTTCATGAAAGTTTAATATGTATTATTTGTTTTCTAATCAATTAGTGGTTTAAAAAATGACAGACAGCAATAGAAAGATAAGATCTTAGGGTTTTCTTAGAGATTGCTCACAAAATTGTCTGTTCTTTATCTGGTTTTAAATTAATATAAAGATATACAAATCAGATAGCAGAGACTCCACCATGTTATTTTGATATGTTTGTGAAACCCAAAAAGCATTGAATACCTTTAAAAACCTTTATTCCCTTTTAACGTTTTGCACATCTTCATCTGTTGTTCCTGCACAAATGAAAGGATGTTTGTTGCTAATAAAAAACAAGACAAGGACAATGATCAATATGCAGACAGAATCAGTCCAAAGCTTAAATGAGCCCCACTAACAAGACCCCTAAAGCCTGCTAATCCTTTAAATTCAATGTAGGTGGAACTATTCAGAGAAATGGGAATTGACTTCAGTGAATTGAAGAGTCACTAAAAAAATCCTCCTCTGCCATCTCAGCCAAAATGTATTCACTTCAGAAGAGAAGTTAACCAGACATTCCAAGCAGAGTCAACAAGCAGAAAGAAAACTACAGAGATGTGCATATCAGAACATATTTTAAACTGGCCTCTGTGGAGCACTTATAAATTAAAACTTGCTCAGCAATATAAAAATATTTTTTGCAAATATACAAAAAAACGTGCATCACGGGTTCTTGCTATATCATTTGTGCTTCTATTGTATTTTGTTAAATTATTCTTGAAACAGTAAAAAAAAAAAAAAAAGTCCACATACTAGTGCTTTTATGCACACTGACAGCTGGAGCCAGTCTCTTGTGTGTTCACATATTTGACCAAAAAAGCTGATTCTGTTCCCATTTCACTCTCTCCACTAGCTTTGTCCCAATCAGGGTCAAAGGAAAGCTGAATCCTTTCCCAGCAGGCACAGGGTGGGTGATAATGACAGCCAAGGGCAGGTCACTAGTCCATCAGAACAATGTTTTTCAACCCTGGTCCTCAAGGCATACTGCCTTGCATGTTTTAGATGTTTCTCTGCTTCAACACACCCGATTTAGATGATTCAGCAAACCCTGTTTTGATAAAAATGTTTAAGGTAAATAAAATTGCAGGTTCAAGGTCAATCTTGGGTTGTCAGCCACTACTTACTGATCCAAACACTTAATTCTACAATTCTGCAATAAAAGTCTGAACTTTTCCTTTAAATGAAAATAAAAATCACAATGAATCAGTGTTTTCCTCTGTGGGTCTGGTCCTGTCTGTGTTACTCAGCCCCTATGGCTTCAATTCTATCAAAGAGACTTTGCAGCTTGCCCTGAGGGGTTAAAAGTGGGAGTCATGGGAAAGGGAGACCACTGAAATGCACCCATTGCTGGCTGAGTTAAACCCCTGCATAGCTTTGTTCCAGGTGTGTCTCTTGAGTCCAAACGGACATACATGCATGCCTTATGCAAACAACTGTCCAGTGCCTGCACACACTATAATCAAGGGAAGAAGGATGGTGCTCCTCTTTACTTCCTCTTTTCCTGTCCACCTGTCATCATCTTTTTATTTATCAGCTGCCCAGTTGGCAGCAGACCAAAAACTAATACAAGACTTAGTTTCATCCTTTTATCTGGTAGAATATACTTCTCAACAACATGTTTGGTTTTATTTTGCATTATCTTGCAAATATTCATCCCATTATTCATGATTTATTTGACACATTTTGATGGAATACAAAGTTAACTGAAACAAAAGATGTTTTATTAATTAATATCATAACCAATAATTCAAATTTCAGTTTAAAAAGAAAACACTTTCAATATTGTCATTATCCTCAGTAAAATTCTTCAAATGATTCTTAAATTTCTCATCACATTCTAAAAATGTTCTTGTTTTAAGGTTTAATAGAGGAATTTGTGAATCTATCATAGAATTATAGATATCAGATAACTTTCTGTTATAATTCATGATGAAAGTAAACGTAATTTAAAGACCTTAAGAAAAAAGTTAGGAGATCGTCCCAATATTTGATAAATACAAGTATGTCAAGTTATTGTTTTCCCTGTCTATAAAAACAATGTAAAGCAAAGAGACATCAATTTAACAAAAATATCTTAGAGCAGCAAGTGAGACCTCCTCACCTTTTGTTGCACATTGCAAGTGAGAAGGCTGGAAAAGGGCAGTAACAGCTTTCATTTGAGGGGGGTAAATGTGGCTTTGTTGCCGTCTCCCGCTTCATCTGGGAAGTCTGAGTAGATACTTCCAGACTTCCCTCTTCTTAGACCTTCTCTAACTCTGCTGAGGGAAGCATAAGGGGCTCTCAGGTCAGTGGTGAGGACATAGTCCTGGGCCTCCACCCGGTGGGACGTGCCTGGATCACCGGGTGGAGACGTCCAGGAGGCATCTGAAAAAGATGTCCTCAGTTGACTCCTTTCGTTTTTATGTGGGGGCGAAGCGGCTCTACTTTACCATTCTGCAGCTTTCTGATGTGTCTCTTGCCTTACACAGTTTAATACAATTGCTAAACTACTATACTAGCATGCAGTTGTTAAGGATCAAAGCTACAACTTCCCAGATCAGAACTACAACTCCCAAGTCAGAGTATCAGATTACGGATGTGTTTGGATGCAGTCCATCTCCGATATTACATCCTCAAGCCGCAGCACCTTTAAAACCATCAGAAGACATTTTTCTCTTTCTCTTCCCCTGGACTCGGTCTGATGCAAGAAGGGAACCCAACATCCCAGCTAGACACCAGAATTGCACATGGTGCAATCTCCAGAAACATGATCCATTTTATTTGTCGAAAGGGACCATATCCCTCTTTGAAGAAGCACTGAGCTGAAAACCCAGCGCAACCTTGCTGATATTGCCCATTTATACAATAGATGAGGAGTTTCTTGGCCCGCCAGATTTAGGGCCTTGGGCATTGATCGAGGCTAGACCAACTCGCAGGCAAAAAAGATTTTGGGCGCTGGCGGGTGGGGCAAGTTTACTAGGCTAGCGTTTATTGGTAATTATCAAAGACCACTGTCACACATC